CGCATTCATACACAACCATTTAACATCTTATCATATTTTCAATTTTATTTATTACGCTTTCTCATACTATATTATTGCACATTTTATAATTCTCATAATATCTTTTATCTCATCATATATTATAACGTCTATAGTTGGTTTATTATAAACTAATTCTTTTGGTTGTTGTCTACCGCCACATGACCACCCGCTGACAATAACTATTATTATAAATTTCACATTATGTGATTACGCGAGCGCGCACACACACATATATCATTTTCAAATCGAACTATTCAAGCCAATTTTCTCTTTAGAAACATGATAATAATCATCTCATAATTTTATCAAAAATCATATAAACTAACCTCAAATTTCAAGAAACATTTCATATTTTGTTTATTCGTACGTGTTGTAAAATTTTCATTTCATTCTTATATTCTTTTCTTTTATATATTTGTCATAACTTTCATATTTAACTCACACGGATAGACTTATCATTCATATGATTATTCAACCCAATATAACTCCTTATCTATAAACCATTCAGTGTAATTTACACTATGTTTATAAAATTTTATTATAAAATATAATAATTAAACTTGTACCGTTTCTTTTCCTATACTTGTTATTTTTTTTGTACTAATCCTCTCACTGTACTATTCTTTTTCCTATATTGTTTTTTTTTGTAATAATTCTTTTACTGTATTGTTTTATATATGATGTCATTTACTTTACTATTTCTTTAATTTCATTTTATAGCCTAGCACAAAATCATGAGAATATATGATACCCGAGTCTCATTGAGAGAACACTTGTATGTACTTAAAAGTGTCTCGTAGATATATTTGCAATCAAAAGTGCCTCGTAGAATTGCACCATAGGTACCATATAAACATATATTATATAGTCACTCCACCTTATGCACCACAAATGTATATTAGTCATATGAGTGACCAGTACATTATTTAATTATAACTTCACCCCATGCACCACAAAGGTACATGAGTCATTAGGGGTGTGCAAATTCGGGTACCCGGATTTTCGGGTACCCGGAGTTTCCGGGTCGACAATTTCTCGGCCCGTGTCTCGATCCGGATGTTACGGGTACCCGGTAATCGGGTACCCGGATTTTGCGGGTACCCGGTAATCGGGTACCCGATACCTGATTTTTAATTTTTTATTTTCAAATTATTAATTTAAAAAAATATATACACAAATTTAAATGTTCGAAACTTCGAATTACATACTCTAATATCCGAACATAAAATTTAAAAGTTCAAAATACAAAATATAATAATTCATAATATAAATAATTCATTATATTTTATATAATTATATATAAAAAAATAAAAAAAAAATAAAAACTAACCGGGTACCCGGAAAAACTAGATTTTGTGACCTGGGCCCGACCCGGGAAATGTCGGGCCGGGTAATTTTTTTTAGAGAATTACCCGGTTTTTTTAGATCCGAGTCGGCGGGTCGGCGGGTCGAGTCAACCGGGTCGGGTAATTTTGCACACCCCTATGAGTCATATAAGTGGTTTGTACAATATTTAATTATCACTCCACCTCATGCACCAGAAAGATACATGATTCATATGAGTGGTTTGTACAAAATTTAATTATCACTCCACCTCATGCACCAGAAAGGTACATGACTCATATGAGTAAGGCTGTAAATGAGACGAGACAGATCGCGAGCTACTTGAGATCGACTCGGTCAAGACTCGATAAATACTCAGATCAAATGGACTCGACTCGAACTCGATCTCGACTCGAATTCTTAACGAGTCGAAATGAGCTACTTGATACTCGACTCGAAAAGCTCGTGAGTAGCTCGAAAATATAATATATTAAGATTTTATTTTTAAAAAAATAAATTATTAATAATATTAACATTTATGTGTTGATTTTTTTTAAAAAATACAATAAGGTTTTCATGTATTTAAGGTTCAGGTTCGAGTTTGAGTTTGAAGATTCAATCTTGTTAAGTTTAAGATTTTTTTTTCATTTCGAGCCTTTTCGAGCTGCCCACGAGCTTCAGTTCAGGATTTCGAGTTCGAGTCGAGCTTAAAAATTTTAAGCTCGCGAGTTTTCGAGTCGAGTCGAGCTCCATTTCAGAGTTTTCGAGTCGAGTCGAGCTCAGCAATACTCGAGCTCGACTCGGCTCGTTTACACCCCTACATATGAGTGATCTTTACAGTATTCAATTATCACTTCACCTCATGCACCACAAAAGTACATGAGTGATATGTGTCGTATCATATAACGTATATCATATCTTATATCATTTTTACTATAAAATATTTATAAAATAATTATCAACTTCATATATTATTTTAACATATATTAATATTGTAATTAACTTAATAATTAATGTTCGTGTAAATATTCTAATAGTATTATTAACATATATTCGATACTAATTTCTTTTACCAAATCGAATCTAACTTTAATTCTATCTAGCTTTAATTCTATCAAATTATCCTTCTATGTCCCTTAAATAATAATTATTATTATTTTTACAACCATTCACTTGACTTTTCAACATTTCAAATTTAACTAGTAATAAACTTTTCTTTCAATTATAAACCCAATATTTCAAATATATCCAAATTAGTTACTTAATATTCAATTTGAATCCATATAAATTATTTTCACATTATATCCAATCTAATGCATTAACTTTACATAATTGTCATTTCATCACCAACTTTCCTAAAACTTACGAACTGGATCTCTATTTTATACAACTTCCCACATGAGCCAAATTCCAATTTAACTATTCAAGTCCCTCTAATAATTATTTAGACTTTACACATTATCTCATACTCAATCTCTACATTAATCCCTAATTTCTCCATATTTACAATTTATTTCTTCCAAATTCGATTCTAAAGCCATAATATCATAATTTTAACCATAAGTTAAATTCTTTTAAATTTTCATATCAACTTTTCTATTTTATTTAATATTATCCTTTTTACCATTTAATCCTAAATTCAAGCATCCTAACAAAAATTCAAATATTCCAACAATATATTTAATTTCTATTTCTTAACTTATACAATTTTCCATTTCAAAACCCATAACTTATATAATTTATAATTTAGTCCTCAATCTTAATAATTTTATAAATTTAACTTCAATTCAATCTTTAATTAATATAGACAAATTTCCAGCATTTTAACTAATACATAATACCTCAATAATTTCAAAATTTTCACTTAAGTCCCTATTTTATCCATAATTTATGATTTAGTTCCTAAACTTTATCAAATTTCCAAATTAGTCCAATTTCACACTCTAGCATCAAATTCAACATTCTAACTTTTAAAATCCAGCATATTACATCATCTATTAAATAATTACACTTCAGTCCCTAAATTTTCCATAAATTTCAAGTAATTCCTTCTAATTTCTCAAATTTTCAATTTAATCCAGATCATCATCTAAACATCAAATTTAGCACACCAACTTTCACAATTTTGTATAATTTTTACCAAGTATTTTCCTTATTTCTTTCCCTTGGACGAATATTTCTATGTTTTCCTAGCATGGATTATATTTTGATTCAAGCATCAATTCTTCCTCTAAACACCATTTCCATGAAATTCTCATCATTTCATCATATGATAAATGTCATAATTATCATGTTAAGATAATAAAGTTGGCTCATTTCAAACAATTAAGATATCATAAAACATAAAAATATCACAAAATGCATAATTTACCTCAATTTCATATTTTGGTAGTTTGCACTACCCTCAAAGAAATATTATTCTGTATTAATCTTAAAATTTATTCCGTGTGTACCATTAGAAACTAGACTCAAATATGAATCTAACCTTATAAGTCACTTCTTTTAGTTCAACTTGTACAATTTATGGCGAATTTTCTAATCTAACTTACAGAATATGTTTGGACAAAATTTGCTGCTTAAATTTCCGACCTTTCATCGGTTAAAAATTCATATCTTTTTGTATATACTTCCAAATCCGTAGCCGTTTGTTTTAAATAAAACTAGACTGATATATAAATCCAATGATATAAAAATCATCTTCTAATAATTCTTGTAGAATTTATGGTGAATTTATAAACTTACTATTTGCATTTCTTAGCTTATTCATTAATTCTATTAGCTTATCAAATGAACACATTTACATAATTTCAAGTTTCTGTCATCATTTCAATGCAATCTCAATCAATTCCCTAAACCCTAACCTTTACCAAGTTCATTTTTAAACATTTTCAAATGATTTTAATCATTATTCAAGCTTAGAATCAACTCTATAATATTAACAACACAACAATCTATACTTAAATCATTAAAATTCAACTTGTTCATCATTCACTCTAAAAATAAAACTAATGATTCAAGCATGAAAACAATGAAATATTTCCACCAATTATTAGAGAATTTAATATAAAACATTTTTCTATTATAGCATAGTCCAAAAATTAAAGGAAAATGACTAAAATAAGAAAATAAGAAAACTTACCTTACCTTCTTTCTTCGTTGTAGTTCAAGTGTATATACAGGGGAAGAAACAAGTTTTCTAGATATCTCCTATAAATATCTTTTGTACACTTGTAAAAAAAATTATTTAATTGAATATAAAATTCTTTTGATGCAAAATTACAACTTTATCCTTTAAAAATCATGATAATTACCTAATTATCATGCCACTTGTCCATATCATCTTCCTTTTATCATTTTCAACGTAAAAAATGAACAAACTATTTCATACTTTCCTAATTTTACCTTTTAATTTTTCAAAATTACAAACTAGTCACCATAATTAATAATTTCGATTTAACATAGAAAATTCATCTAAATTCTAAGGATTCATGTCAAAGTTTAACATTCTAAAATATAGAAGTAATGTTTCTAACTTTTTTCCATCATCCTTCAATTTTTCCTAATTTCCCGATTCGATCCGGTTATTCAAATATTTTCTATTTTTGCCACCAAACTTTCAAAAATTATATTTTAGTCACTAGTCAAATTTTAGGGTATTACATGCGCCCCGTTAGTATCTCCAGCAGGACCACCCCATAACTGTAGACATCACTCTTCTCGGTAATGTTCTTTGTGCATCCATATTCTGCATTCAAATTAATAAACATTCCTCAGGCAAGACATTAAATAACTAGCTATGCTAGAACATGATCAGGATATAAATGTTCAAATTGTTTTCGACTTGTAAGGCGATTTTACGGACAAAACCGTGCAGCTCAAGCCATGCAGGCATGAATATTCTACTCAAATGGATCATATAAAAGTTAATTGGGGAACTTGCCTGGGGCAATATAACCATAAGAGCCTGCAACTCTGGACATTGCGTGGTGGTAATTAGGAGAGTTCATCAGCTTTGCCAACCCAAAATCTGCTAAATAAGCCTCAAACTTTGAATCTAAGAGTATGTTATTGCATTTCACATCTCTGTGAAGAATTGCTGGTCTGCAATCATGGTGAAGATAAGCTAAGCCTTGAGCTGATCCAACGGCGATCTTGTACCTTGTTTCCCAATCCAAGTTCCGATTACTTTGCGAAAGCTGTAGCAGATTACCATTTGGAATGTAATTGTATAGCAGGAGCTTAACGCTTTTATTGGAACAATAACCTAAGAGCTTCACAATGTTTCTGTGCCGAATGTGTCCAAGAATCTGAATTTCTGCTGCAAATGAGTCCACTGCTGGCTCTTCATCTTGCTTTGTTTTCCAAAGCTTTTTCACCACAATCAGTTCACCGTTCGGCATTTCAGCTCTGTAAACAACACCTGAACAACCTTTTCCTATCAAATTCTTGCGTCCGTCCTTGATAACAATATAGTATTTTAATTTCTATTACAAAATAATTGAAGTTTTTTTTCCTCTCTTTTGTGTATATATATAAAAGAGAGAAAAACTGGGTTATTGAGAGAAATAGATTAAAATTGAACACACATGACTCCGAGTAACATAGCGATAGGACACCATTAACAGTGTAGGTTTATAGTAGGACGTAAACTATACAAATCTACGGTTGGATTTGTGAAGTAGCCAAGAGCAAGGGCTTAGTTAACCAGTATTGTTGAATCCTCTGCCGCGCATACTCCAAGTAGTTGAACTCTCTTGTTTGCATGACCCTGTACATAAACCATAAGTGGATTGCTCCCAAAATCTTTCTCCATAAAGCTAAGTGAAAAGGTGTTCAGAAATTAAAACCTACCGAGATGATTCCCCAGAAGCCCCAAAACATATGATTGGCAAGCGTGTATTTCTCGACGTTGGCGAGTAGCTGCCCCACTTCTGCATCACTGTGTTCGTTTCCTGCATGCATGCAACCCAGAGAAATCAGACCCTGTTTAAACAAGCAACATACTTTCCTATAGTATTCAGATTCTTTTTATACTTTTCTATCCAGAGAATGATAACTAACCCGAAGATGCCAAATACGCGGCGGTGAATCTTCGGCGCTCCTCCATATCTGTTGTTCAATTGCAAAAGAAACAGGTATGGTTCGAATCGAACCTGCATGATGTTTTCGAAACCAATAACAAAGATGTTTCTAAAATTACAAGTTACTCACCAGGGTATATGCGGTAGTCCAGAATATGGGGTGTCTCGGAATGATAATTAGCGGCCATCTCGCAGAAGTGATTGGCAAGGTCATAAGCGATAGGATTGTAACTTGCATACTCGTAGTCCTGTGAAAAGGAAGTAATGAATTCATTATAACATTCATAATTTATTCTGATTTGGCTGCCCATTGGTCTACTCCAAGAGCAGTCCGCAGATGAAATAGTTTTAGTCCAATAAAGCAACTTTTGTGTATGCAGATTGGAGAAATATAGTTGCAAATGCATGTTTAACAAATTATTTCAAGTGAAGTTTAAGCTAAAGAAAATGTTAGAGCAGAGTCTAGAACTGAAAGCAATGTATAGAAGCCACATTTGCGACTAATGTTAACGGAACCAGAAACTTACGATTAGGGTAATTGCTCTCGTCTCTTCATCCATCATTATGTTACCATATTGCAAATCATTGTGACAAAACCCAATCTCTTGATAGCTCCGTGTTAACTCTTTCTCAAGGATGCTGATTTCCTCTCCGAGAACATGCAAGCCAAATTCTTCAGCAGTTCGCCGGGAACAGATCTTCTTTGCCTGACTAAGCCAAGTCCTGTAAGAAGCAAAAAGGGATAAGATCCTTTCGAGCCGAAAGATAAAAGGACTGATATCACAAATGCATGTTAGTACCTCAATCGCTCCCAGAGAAATACATTCTTCAGACCAGGCATGTCAAGATCGTGGAACTCTCTCAATTTAGCTGCTATTAGGGAAGATATTTCAGGGTCCCGGAGATCAGATGCAGAAAGTGTCTGGTAAATCAATAAGATAATGTTAAAGGGGCAAGACCAGAAATAAGATAAAGGATGGGTTATCAGCCTGAAACAAAACCGCCAAAAATTCTTTCCTTTATCTACTAGCATCAGCCTGCTAAAATGGGTTATCAAGATGACCATGTATTTATGAATAAAAATCTAAGCAAACTGATAGTTGATGTCAAAAGAAAACTTGTAGATCATTTGCAAATTGAGGAAGAAGGCCGATGTTAAGTAACCATTAGACGGCACCAAGAGCTTCCTTTCCTACATGTACTCGTTTACATGACCCTGACATAGTCTTCCCCTAATGGCTCCAGAGCAATAATCAACATTCGAAAATCATTAAGCAAGGAAAGAACTGAGTTGCAATTGAACAACATCCGTAAATTGTAGTTGTGGTTATTCTAACACATAATGTAACGTTGTGCGAATTAGACATCAACGATGAAAGAAAATTATATATACCCTGGCATGAATGAACTCCTCGATCCTTCCATCCGAAAACCGCCCAAGAAGCCTAGGTCCTTGACCATGCTTGGACATGCACTCAAAGGTCCTAATCTCATCATCCCTATCGAAAAACACTTCGACACCTTCACCGTAAATCCGGACCAACACTTTGTGATGAAGATCACCATGATTTGTAGGCCAGTTTATCTGAAAGACCTCGTTAGTCATTGCTCCCTTCAGTGGAATTACATCGAATTCTTCTATATCTTGTATCGCATCTCCCCATCCGGTTGCCACTTCTTCGAAAACTCTCTTTAGTTCTTCTGGTGCAGAACTAGGAATGAACCCGTTTTTCTTTATAGCCATTTCTGTACCAAAATCCCACAAAAGATTAATTCGAACGCAACGTGATTACATGATACCAACATAATGAATGTTTAAAAATCTGCATAATACTAATTATGTGATCATATCAAAGCTTATATAAAAACGAAATCCTATTATTACACAAACAAAATCCAACCGGATGAACATGCATGCTCTCTAGTCTATTTGAGAGAGAGCTTCATAAAACTGAGTATTCTTTGAAAAGACGACCATGCATGTACCAAAAACACTTAAAATCAAAGAACCCATTTGATGAAAACCTCTTAGATTTCAGTAAAACAAACACCATGCATGTAATAAGAAGTGGATAATCAAACAGCCCATTTCAGATGGTGGAAAAAGGCATTCCAAAAATCCAAAAAAAACCAGCACATAACACTGAATTCAACCAGAAAAACAACACTAAAAGCACTCACCAGAAGGAGATGATTTCTAGTAAAGTCGAAAGCAGGCACATTAAAGCTTTTCTCGTTTTGGAGTATTTAAGCTTTAAGCACAAATACTTTTTCTGAAGAAAACAAAAGGTGAAGAATTCAAAGAGGAGAAATAGAAAGGTTAAACAAGTGAAAACCGCGTTTGATTTGTTTGGTTTATTTAAAAAGGCAAATAACAAAGAGTTGGTTAACTTGCTCTTTGACGAACGAAAGTAGGCCTGTAAACGAACCGAACGTACACGAACGGAGCTATATTTATGTTCGTTTATTTAATAAATAAACGAACATAAACGAACACAAACATAAACGAACACGAACATAAATGAACACGAATATAAACATTGGAGACCCTACCTAGGGGTGTAAACGAGCCGAGTCGAGCTCGAGTATTGCTGAGCTCGACTCGAACTCGAAAACTTTCAAAGTCAACTTGACTCGACTCGAAAACTCGCGAGCTTAAAATTATCAAGCTCGACTCGAACTCGAAAAGGATTGAACTAAAAAAAATTAAGAGCTCGATTATTGGATTTTTGAGTTCAAAGTAAGCTGACTTGAGTTGCTGGATGATCACTATTTACTTGTAAATTTGAATACTCCATTATATATGAAAGAAAAGAAGATTATTTGAGTGGAAGAAACGGTGCTTAATACTTAACATCCCTTCCGGAATCCATCACCTTTGGACTTGGTTTCGAAAGCAACCGGTTTCTGAGATTCCTCTTTGCTCATCGGATAACCAGCTGGTGGCGCAGTCAAATAGGGTTTCGGCGCAATGGATGTTGACGGTGCTGGATATACAGCTTATGGATCGTTCAAAAAGAACTAAACTATGTTAATATTGTTGGATTTTCCAAATAAAATTAGATTAATTATAGAGTTGATCATCAGAATATCAGATTAATTAATATTTTTAAAATACTTACAAATTAGTCACCAAAATTGATTTAAGAATATTGGCTTAAACATAAATGAATGAACATAAACGAACATAACCGAACAAACATAAACGAACATAACTGAACAAACATAACTGAACGTTCACGAACGTAAATGAACGAACGAGACCTATGTTCATGTTCGTTCATTTAATTAAACGAACACAAAATCTTGTTCATGTTCATTCATTTAATAAATAAACGCACATAAACGAACTTCCCACCGCACGGTTCACGAACGGTTCACTAAACGTTCAGTTCATTTACAGGCTTAAACGAAAGCTCAGCTCAGCTCTCGTTTTCAGGGTGTCAAATGGGATGGAAAATTCAAGGTATATCACAAAATCGACCGTCGGTTAACTGAGTTATAACGAAAAAGAAAATGACAAGTTAAACTGTTTTATTGAAAAATTATGTTAAATAATTACTATTGTTATGTCTTAGTTAAGAGGCCATCAGGAAGATAATATTATCAGTCTATATATACATAATTATGTGATATAAGGTCAATAAAACTTTTTTTACGAGTTATAATCTAACTAGTGTTAAAAGAGATGTTTATTATTATTATTATTACTATTTATAAAAATTATTTTTAATTGATCTATTAATAATTTAAATAATCTATTTATATTAATATAGCAATAAATTATATATTTGTTATTAGAAAAAAATAGATTTTAATCTAAATAAACGTCAATTTTGGACTTTCTAAGCGCCTGAGGTTAATCGTTCGAAAGTGAATTCTTATTGGTTGGTTCTTCAGGTCTTCAACCTGTTTAAGTCAAAGCATTCTCACCAATAAAATCTCGACAGCTGTATTGTTGATTTGGATAACTTCTTTTTGCTTTGTTGTCATTGACTCAAGGAGATAGTAAAGTATGAATAAATTATATCACATACCATTGAACTTTAGATAGTGAATTATTTATACTACTGATTTTTTAATTTCTCGAGTTATAACATTAAATTTTGATTTTAATTCTAATTTTACCATTTGGTCAATAAAATTCAAATGAGTATGATGACATGAATCAAATGACATCGTTTTGGTATCGCTATTGATGCCTAAAGCAATGATGTTTAAGACTAAACTTATAGGGTATATTAATTTTACCACTAAACTTTTAAATAATCTCATTTTTTACACTACACTTTTTTTAATCATTGTCGGCAACTAACCACCTCTTCACTAGTAGTCTTTCACTACAAGAACGATATCAAAACGTTCATATTCACTCTTTTTTATTCTCTGATAAATTTAATATAATATGTTAAAAAATAAAAAAAATAAATTTTTTGCACCCATTATTTTAAAAAAAAGAAATTAAAATTTTAGACCTCATTTATAAATTTTTAGATCTGTTATTACAGTCATAATTTTACAAAAATTCTTAACCATGTATCTTTATAGGTAATAGAAAATTCTTAATTATACATTTTTTTATTGCTATTGTCTAATATTGTTATTATATGATTATTACATCCATAATCATACAATAATTTTTATTATATTCGTAATCACAATAAATACAACACAATCAAATATATAACCACAATCATAATTTAAATTCTCATGTAGAAGAGTGGTGATTAGGCCTATAAACGAACCGAACGAACACGAACAGGGTATGTTCATGTTCGTTCGTTTAACTTTAACCGAACAAATGAACGAACACGAACATAAACGAACGGAAAAAATTATTGTTCGTATTCGTTCGTTAAGGAATGTAGCTTGTTCGTGTTCGTTCATGTTCGTTAATTTAAATGATAAACGAACGGATGTAAACGAACATAAACAATCGCAAATGAACGAACGTAAACTAACACAATAAATGAACATAAATGAACGTAAACGAACACAAATGAAAAAATATATTTTTTCTTTCCTAACAATTTTAGAATTATATTATATTTAATTGTTTTGAGTTTTTTAATTTGTATTTAAAATTCATTGAATTTTAAAATATTTATGGGTATCAGCTTAAAATTTATTGGACTTTAATATTTTAAATAGGTCTAGAGAGATTGGGCTAAACATAATTGAACGCACATAAACGAACATAAATGAAGGAACATATTACCGAACGTAAATAAATGAACAAACCCTCTATTAATGTTCATTCATTTAATTAAACGAACATAAAATATTATTCATATTCATTCGTTTAATAAATAAACGAATATACACAAACTCTCCATCAAACGATTCGTTGAACGTTTGGTTTGTTTGCCAACATAGTGATATGGCAAGTTGATGGTTCGTGATTTGGGTCTTTCATTTAAAATTTTTACACCCGGCAATCCCCCAAAAAAAAAATTAATATAATTTAATAAAAAAATCTTTTTTTTTTCAAATTTTATTTTGTTCGTTATGCAGTCCTTTATATTCTGAGGACTAGATCCTATTACGTCTGTTATTCAGTTCAGCTCATCAGCGTCCCAGAAGCTATTCTCAGTTCTCTCATCTTCCCCAAATATCCTCGCCGCTCACAAAAATGGTAATTTGGATTTCTTCTCTCTTCCAAATCCCTAATCTCAACAGTTCAACAGCTGTATTCTCAATTGATTGATTCATCTCTTTCTGTTGCTTTTTATATACTTTATTTTACTTGATCTTGACTAACAGCTTTTATAGTCTAATTATGGTTTTATTTTATGGATTTTATGAGCGTTTGTGAATTTCTTCTTCTTCTTGATTTGAACTGTATTCTATTTTTTTCCTCCAAAGATCGTTGCTTTTAACTTCATATTAATGTGCCTTTTTGTTGCCTTGTTTTGTGTTGTGTAGTCTCTGGTGGCCAACGAAGATTTTCAGCACATTTTACGTGTATTGAACACCAACGTCGATGGAAAGCAGAATATTATGTTTGCTATGACCTCCATCAAGGGTATCGGAAGACGTTTTGCTAACATTGTCTGCAAGAAGGCTGATGTCGATATGAACAAGAGGTTTTTTCCTTCAAAAATTAGATACGGAGACCCCGTATCTTCCCCCCCCCCAACTTTGTAGGTCAACAGGGGGGTGACGTCCTGGTCATTGCGCCAGTAGACTGGAATCATGTATATAGTATAGGCTTATTCCACTCTAGTTATAGTGAGACTGTGATTGTGTCTGTCATGGGTATGTAAGGGGCCTTGGAGGATCATATTCTTGTACTTATCTGTAAGGATGCTTGTAAGATCGTATTCTTATCTTTATATCCAAATATGCGTCTGACACGGGTGTTGGACATGGGTACTTAAAAAAATTGAATTCAATAATATTGGTATATCAGTGTAGGCTGTGGCGTGATGATGGTCATGTTAAATCGTATTCAGTTTTTTTTGTAGTTTATTGTGGAGATCTTATTCGATTCATTTATTCCTGCTATTAGGGCTGGTGAATTGACTGCGCAGGAGCTGGACAATCTAATGACCATCGTTGCCAACCCCAGACAGTTTAAAATTCCGGACTGGTTTTTGAACAGGCAGAAGGATTACAAAGATGAGAAGTATTCTCAGGTTGTTTCTAATGCTCTTGACATGAAGTTGAGAGATGATTTGGAGCGCCCGAAGAAGATCAGGTTAATAATTTGTTGTGGCTTTTTATTGATTTGTGTTCGAATTAACATTTGTGCTTCTGTTATTTTATGTGCTGGTTATTTGATGCTTAGAAAGACGTGATCAAGCCAACTTTATCAAAGAATGATGATGTTCGCTGCATTTGTGTTACTTTGAGATTAGTGTCAAATTCATAACTTCCGAGTTTCGTGGCATGGGATGGCAGCTAAGGTCTCGTAATACCGTCATGCAGGAACTACCGTGGGCTTAGGCACTACTGGGGCCTTCGTGTACGTGGTCAGCACACCAAGACTACTGGTCGCAGAGGGAAGACTGTTGGTGTCTCTAAGAAGCGTTGAGTGCTTTATACATATACTACTAATGTTTTGAAGAGATGTATCTTCAGGCAGAGTTTATTTACTTCCTTTTAAGCACTGTATTGTTTTCATTAGGACAAAATTTTGGATGTGATTTTCTTTTTCATATGTTTAAATTATGTTTTAGCCGATTGAGTTAGTGTCACTCAATTCATAACACCTTACTTTAGGTAGACCACGTTATAATAGTATAGGTAAACCACGTTAATATTTCCCGCCTTTGTTAGATTGAATTTATTATTATCCCTTAATCACATTTTCAAATGAATTAACCCTGTATTTAGACAATTATCACGACAATTATTTCTACAGTTCGAAAGTGATTGAGCTTAGTTTGCACCATAGTACGAGCTCAAGACTTAAGACTTCTTAAACCTCAAAATTTAAGGTCTAAAGTTCTGCCACTCCTTGGAAAGCGCTTAAAGTTTCAGTCACACCAAAAAGCTTCAATCTAACAATGTTTGAATTGTATGCAACAATTTAAGCCTCTGAATTAACTTGCTCGACGGACTTCGTTTGAAAAATGTTTCTCCAGACCAGTTTTTCCAACATAAAAATATTAATTTTCCAACTTATTGGTTTGAGTCAAATAATCACTTTTCAAAAGTGAATTTTGGGCTGTAAATGAATTGTTTGAGAATGCTTCTGCATTTCAAACATAATTTTGAGTCAAAAACACTTCTATAAGCATTCCCAAACAGCTTAGTATTCAATAATAAATTCCGAATAAAGACTATGAAATTCGAGAACCAATTTAAAATCACTTCAAATGATACAGATCAGACACGAAGAAAATGATTGTCTTTTGTACCCAAAGAAGCATTAACGAATTATATAAATTATATTCCTGAAATATAAAATGCAAATTTTAAAAAGCATCTAATCCTATCAAAAAATGATTCATTCCCTCGGTGTGAACGAAAATACAAAAGAATAACAATTATAAAAATCATTAAAACTAAGGCTGTTCTTTGACCCCCCCCCCCCCCAAACAACCAATCCTAATCATATTGGATAAACAAAGTTCCTGAAAAATCAGAGCTAACCCTTGTATTCTTTTTTAACTTACATACAGGGAGAATTATACTTTAGCGCCATGTTCATTAGAATCTGATAAGCTACCGGGCTTTTGTTGTCGGGTCGTAGGCAGAGACAGGCTCCGGCGCTCTTTCCCACCGGGCTTAGATGAAGCATTTCCATACCAAATCATTCCAGCCACAGCTATGATCATACCCAGAACCACATGTAGATTGAGACCCTCTTTTCCAAAGAAAAAGAATCCCATAATCAACACAAGGATCGTCTTCATATGGCCAAGTACTTGAAAAGACACTGCAGTAAATCTGCCGATGCAGATGAACTGGCTGAGGTTCGTTCCGACAGCTATGGTACACGAAAGTATGATAAACATCTGCATAAACACCAAGAAGCAAAAAAGCTGTGACTAATCATGTAAAACCTAAAGTCAGGAAAGAACAACTGGAATTGCACACAACCCACATACTTTATAACCTATGCAAAACCACAAAAAGAAAAAGGCCGACACCAAAAATTTGCAGCAGCCAAACCACATAAAAAATGTACCGAAGTGTTCTAACCCAAAGATTACAATATCAATTCATAGGTCTATTTTATAAAGAAGCTAAAGAGACAGAAATGAGAGCCGGTACATCTGCTATAATGTGCTGCATTCTCTTACAGACTTACACTGACTCTTTTTTCACCCCCTTGAACATTGAAAAGGGAATATAACCCTCCAAAGACATGAAAAGACTAAAAAAAAAAGAAACGAGCATACTTGCATGGACCAATACTCATATCTGATAATCGTACCCAAGTTCGAGTAACAAACTTACATATCACACTAAAATTAAATGCTTTCCTTCAATCAGAATAGACTGAATACATATACTTCTGTTAAGCCTAGAATCATCTAGTGGATAGATATTTTAATATATGTTCAGCACCATGCCACCATATGGTATGTGAGAAGGGGATGTATAGAGATTGCAACAACATAATATACAATGCAAATAAGCTTTGATTACTTATGAGGCGTTAGTGAGAGAAGCTCCACCTTCTCTCTATAAATCAGGCATTTAAAAAAAAATTGTCTTTATTTCTTTGGACGCGAGGAAAGCTATCAACTGTGTTGATAGATCTTGGATTCAAGGTAACAAAGTTAGAGTTTTCATGGCGAGATATCATTCTCGTGATGTTTTCTGGAGGAAGAAGTTCTCTGGTCCATTTTTAGCTGAGGGCAAGAGTTTAGTAGAGGATGTTAGTCATACAGAGGCTCCCATTGTTGGTTTTGTTGACGAGAATAAGCTCTCAACTCTCAAAGATAGCTTGGTAGGATGGTGCAGAAATTTTATTAAGATGAAAGAGTTGGCTGCTATTATGCACAAGGAAGGCATTGTAGGTCCGAAAATTATGAGATTAAGTGGGTTAGCAATTTTAATCTTATTTGAAGATGCAAAGAGTAGGGACTTTACTCTACATAATCAGAGAGTCGGGCATGGCTTTCGTGCAAAGAGATCCCTCCATTTGTGTGGAGTCTCTCCACCTTCAGAAATATTGCACTCAAATGGGGAGTTCTTATATCCATTGAGGAAGGGACCTTAAATAACGACTCGTTTGATAGGGCTTTGCTACAGATCATCACGAACTGTCAAGCTCGTGTGGAAGAATCCATTGTTTTGAAAGTCGGGGATAGGCTCTTTAAAGTTCATGTTTATGAGTTTGAGTCGTGTTTCAGCCCAGAATCTGTCTGGGTAGAGTCGTCTTCGATGGAAGAGGCAGTCTCCTCCCCGTTCTCCAAGGTGGGGGAGCTTGTTGGTGTCTCCCAGTTAAGTATCCCGAGTTGGAGGTGTATGCTGAAGAAGCAGGAAGAAACGTGAACTCATCGGAGGTGCAGTTTCCCGAGAGGTGTTCTAAGGAAGAAGAGAATGTTTTCTGTTGTATGGGGAGTAGTACTAGAGGCAGCTTCTTGTCGGGTGATGGCGAGGAGGACAGGAACATAGGCGAGGAAATGATGATGGGTCTGAGGAGTGTCGTTGCGGGTCAGGGGATGTTTCCTTCACAAATTGAGGAAGTGGGGGAACACGAGACAGTGCTGGTGCACTCGGAGAGAGAGGCAATGGATGTCTATAAGGATAGTTGTTTGCCTACACGTGGTTATGAGGGGATTAAGGATTATTTAATTGATTTTCTCATCCTGGATGGTCGTTTAGTGTCAATGGAGTTGGAGGATGTGAGCCTACAGGAAAACGAGGATCTGTTGGTTCATGCGGAGAGAGAGAAAGAAGATGCCTACAAGAAAAGTTGTGAGCCTGCACGTGCTTTTAAGGGCTCGAAGGATTATTGTAAAGATTTCCCCATGTTGGATGGTCGAGTTGAGTCAAAGGTGGTGGAGGCTGGGTTTAACGACGGCCTTACTTACAACTGCGCATTCAAAAATCCAAAGGGTAATGCAAGATAGTACATGAGACCTAAGGAGTGTTTTGGCAACAAATATAGCTCCGTCCAAATATTTCAAGAGAATTTTACGGCTACCAAAAGGAAGTCTAAGTGTTACCGAAGCAAAAGCCATCAGAGTAAGGTGCAGCGAGAGGAAGAGGTGTATGATATTGTAGGCAGATTCATATATGATTTTGACTTTCCAGCATTGGGGCAGTCCCAACAGAAGGATGCGATCGATTCCTTGCAGTTCGGGAAAGAATTGGGTTTTGAGTCTAATGGCTCAGTAGAGTATCTGATGTCGGAAAACTATAGCAGGGGAAGTAGTAGAAGTTTCAGGTGATCTGCATATGCTTATTGTTTGGAGCTGGAAGTTCGGATGGTCTCAGCCGACAAGACGAGTTAAAGTGGCGGAAAGGCGGCTATGTGCTTGCTTTTCTGTTTTCTTATCATGAGGAAGCTTGGTGGTTTTTGAGTTACAAGTTGGCTGCTATGGCTTTTAGTTAGCTGTCAACCTTGGCTTCTATTATTGTTGTTTTGGTTTTTTGGCGTCTTTCGGGCCACGTTTAGGCTTTTAGTATGGTCAGTCTGTTTTTTAGGCTGTTGTTGTTGCTAAGTTGGATTAGGCTGGTTCAGGTAGGGTTGTTTGCGGTTGTTTTTGGTGTTCTGTTTATGTTGGGGGTGGCTCCCTGGTTGTATCTTGTATTTTCTATGGTTAATGAAATCTTAAGGCACTCTTTTCCTCCTCCCGCTGATTAAGGAGCTTCTCTATAAGCTTCTTTAATCATGAAGGAGGTTTTTAACGAGGCCTTCAATTCCTATAAAAAAATATATACAATGCAAATTAAATATAACAGTAGGCCGCAAAAAATACAAGTAATTGCATGAATTACAATATGCACATTCACAAACACAAGCAATTTTATTCATAAACATGATTACAACAACTTTGAAACAACTAAATTAGCCTTGTTCTAAACCGAGGACAACAATCACCATGATGCACAAAACTCGTAATGCAAATAATATATATAGATAGAGCGCTTACGATAGATACTAGGTTATAACTATAGGCATCAACTCTCTTGCTTGTCAACCAATAATCCAGAAATGGACCTAATACCAGAAGAGTTCCAGCCTGGGCAGGAGCAGTGTGTCCCAGCAGGTTGAAGGAAGTAAGATTATACCTTCGCTGAAGGTGATGCACATACTGCACAAATAAAAACAAGAATAAATAAATCAAGACATTTTATTATTTTAAGATCTACAATGATATAGCAATGGTTATATAGAAGACTCAATTTATATGTACAATAATTGACAACTTACATACTGCTGCAGAGAAGTACTCCAAACTGCAATGAAGGCAGCTACGAAACCTTTGGTATTAACACTCACATCGGTTACAGTACAAACACCAACACCAACAAGAACTACAGCTATGCTCAGCTTTGTATCTCTGGAATACTGGATCTTGTCCATTACAACTTCCAAAAAACAGGATACAGGAATCATACTAAGCTTTGCAATCTGTCATTGAATTAGAGAATTTGTGATTTAAAAATCATTTAAAAAATACTACTAGTTCCTTCTACAACAAATAATATACTTTACCTGATAAAATCCCACAGAGTTCCACATCAGACTAACATTCATTCCAACAATAGAGAAGTTTGCAAACAAAACAAATTTCAAAAGCTCTCCCAAGGGTAGATGAGAAGATTGAATGTATCCCAACCATCTTAGAACAGCTGTCATTAAGGTTGTGGTACCAAAATGCAGACCAGTTAATGTTGTGGCTGCAACAATTTGCAATCAAATACAAAGGAATTACTGACAGTTTATGAAATACTTACTGCAGTAAAGCATAATCTAAACACATTCATTGTGTAACAAAAACCAGAATCTTTAGCTTACTTTTACTTGCATTATTATATTAGCATTACAATTGTCCTACACTCACTCTCAATTATTTCAAATTTCCAAGTCAAGGCTTCCTCTTCACTATACTTACGAAAACCTCCTCCTTTTATCATTTTATTTTTCAGTTGTTTTCCATGACTTTCAGCCCATTTCCTTTCCTTTTACAACAGGTAAAAAGGAAGAGGGTAGGTGGGGAGGGGAATCAAAACCATGAACTTCACTTTCTCCACCATTTAACCCTAAATAAAGCTCATTCCAACATAGGATAAGGCCAATTGTATAGCCTTTTGCAGTATGAGTTATCAGCTCATCATCCTTAACACTCCACGATCTCAATTTTCAAATATTTAGAACAATTACCCCTGTTGATTTCATTTTCCAAGAGAATGCTGGCAACAATTGCAATTTAATCGAAATATAGCTAGCTAACATCATTAACAGTTTTTGGTGCGCACACACACATATATAACATATTGGGGTGGGGCACAAGAAAAAGTGTAAAAAGGGAAATTACCAAAACTGAAACCATAAGTAGCCATTAAGGCTTTATTGACAATAATAATTCCAACAGAAGTGACAACATTGAACATCCAGGCAGACGCATCTACCATTGCTTTTCTGTCAGTCTTATAAGTTGGAGCCATTTTATGTTTTGTTTCAAGAGACAACACAAATCCTGTATCACTCAACGTTCTTTATGTAATCCATCCCTGTGCATATGTTGTCCAAGTGTTTTCAACAACTCAGCAATAAGTCCTGCAAAAAAACATAGAAACAAATAAGAACAAAATAAATAAATAAAGCCCGGGGAAAAGGTCCAAAGCACTTTGGTTTTTCCTGTGTAAGACAAGTTATTTAGCTAAAATTTCCGCATCATATGCTAATCAAAATTTTCAAAAATCAGTTCCAGCATTTTACAACCAAGATACCCATCTGTCCAACTAAGCCTAGACTTTGATTAAAACATCTTCTGCCGCTGACAAATTAGCAGCTTCAAAAACAGATCTTATAACCATTAAAAGGAGTGGAGCTACCTGAAAATCCATATAAATCTCAAAAGGAGACCAGCTTTTGCTACTTACAATGTATAAGCATGATGTGCAAACCACATCCATAGACTTTAAAATCATTATGCTCATTAATCATGGAGACTATGGCTAGCACTACATAATGAATTCAACTCCAACTTTATGATTTGAGTTCTAAACTAACACAATAGTCAACGTTCTCCCTGTTTGAATCAAATTCAAAACACACATTCATGCAGAAAATACATACGTAGTTATACATTTGGATCCTCCCTCATCAAAGATAGATGTCCACTTCCACATTAGTTAAACAAAGTGAACGTAGAACATTAAGAAATGAACACCTGAACCGTTAGTTGAACTATGGCTATTTTACTTTAAATTTCCCTGAGTGATCAATCAGAAAAAAAACAGAGAATCACAATGAACTGTTTTAACACTAAAAATAACAGCAAAATAAAATAAACTCTCATCAAGTATGTCAAATATCCAGATCAGGTAAATATGAAAAAAATGACAACAACGGGAATTAGATCTAACAGAAAAAACAGTGTTGGATCTCATAATTAATATCAATGAAGAAAGAAAATGACAGATCTAACGCGTTGAAACGATAATGAAAACGACGGGGCAACGTACCCTTTTTTTGGAAAGGCAGACGTCGTATGAGAGAGATAGAGAGAGGGAGGGAAACGAAGGGAATCGGAAAGGAAAAAAACTTGGTGGGCTTAATTATTTTGTTTGGTTCCCTGGAGAGTTGAGTGAAAATAAAGAGAGCGCAAGAAGAAGAAAAAACTGGTTTATTAGGTAAACTACACGAATGGTCATTAAAGGTTGAGTATATTTTCGGTTTTCCCATGGAACTTTCAAATATTACAAATTGGTCATTAATATTATTGATTTGTAACAAAATAATCACTCGACATAAATCTTTCCGGCTGCATTAACCACTTAAATAGACTGTTAAACACCACATTGGAGAGCCCGTTTGACTCCTATTTGATCGAGACTTCAATTAATTACAATAACAACTACATTAAAGCTCTACCCATGAACATCATCCTCACAATTGCTTTCACTCCGTTTAAATTCCTTATCTATGTCTCTTTTTATCTCTCGTTTCCCAAAAGTTTCCCAACACTTGTTGTATTATTGCTATTTTCATTCATACAAACTTCTTTTCTTCATTTCCAAGTTTCAAATATGCTACCAGTCCAATTAATCCTTATCGGACTAGTTTTTCTTTGTTTGATTCTAAACAACACAATTCTGAAATGGCTTTGATTCAAGTCTCAGATATCTCACTATTTTTCTTAACAACAAAGATAATCATATTTAAAAATCTATGAGTTTTCCAATCATTCCATGGAACTCCTTGGTTGTCGAGGATGATGAAATTAGTCCCACAATATGGCACAAGATTTGTTTCATCATCACATTGTCATACTCAAATAAAATTATGAAAGATTCTAACTTTGATCATTCTTTAAGCATATTCAAACATTGCAATTCTCTAAAAAGAAGCAACCTAAGTGTAACACCCTGGACCAATACGACACACAGTCTACCGATCAGAATGTTACACGGAATCACCTGAATGGCTAGCCGACCTTTTTCTTATTTCTGTTGCTTTAAAAAGACTATTTTCTTTATAATTTCAACTGTAAAAATATAATTAAAATTGTATACTGGGGAGCTCCCAAAATAAATATTTGCATCCAAAATAATAATACAAACGACTTTAAGAGACATTTATGACTCAACTTTATAACATGGTTTATAACTATACATGTCCTTCAAAACACTAAGACGTACTCTGATCTGCTTTGGGTCTGGACACTCTAAGCTCCTTAACTACTCCACCTAATCTGCATAAGGAAACAAATTACAAACGCTGAGCTAACTAACTTAGTGTCACACTAACAACTGAAACATACTAAAAGTGTATCACATAAAGGCTTAAGTTATCAAGTCTATTGCTTTGCTTTAGTGAGTATACTTGTATACTCACTCTCTACTCTATGGTATACTTCATGGTACGACTGAGGGTTCTGTATCTTGGAGCTCACACACCTCTCTAGTCTATCGAGGATGCCCCCCGAAATCTTTGCATCGGACACATACCCTCAACTAACCCACCCCTTGCGAGTGTCAGGCTTTGGCCTTAGTTAGCCAGCTTAAAGTGCCTTGCGCACTCCCTAAGGATATTCAGATTGATTCTATACTTTCTACACCACTAGCTTTTCTAAAGGGGTGTCCTGATCGTTTCCCGAGTATTCAAACAAGTCTAGTCTTATTCGCCCTGTAATACCCCAAACTCTTGGTCAGTAGTTTGTGTCAACCCGAGACCCATAAGTCGAGCCCATTAAACTTCCAAGATCAATTTGGACTAGTTTATAATAGTATTGGGCTTAAGGTGGGCATAAGAGTTGTAGCTAAGGGGTGATTTTAAAATAAAAGTTAAAGGTGAGGGATTAAAAGTGTAGTTTACCCATTTCTCAAATTAAAGGATAGAAACCCCTTTTAATGGGAGTATTTTACATGAACCAAAGCCACCAAAAATACTATTCTCTTCTCTTATTCCTTTTCTCTCCAAGAGTAAGCTTAAAGGAGAAAGCTTTTCAAATTCTAAGCTTATTTAGAAGTAATCAAGGTAAGAACCTTAATTTTTATCCCTTAAGCTTCATTTAGAGCCCTTAATCCCAAGTCTTGGTTAAGATTTCTAAAAGTGGATTTTTAGGGAAGTTAAGAAATTCAAAGAATTCAAGTTTATTCTAGTAAATTTGGGTTGTTTGGAGTATCCTTAACCTTGTTTTAAGCCTTAGATGAGTTAATAAACCCTTTTTCATATCTTTGATTAGACAAAGAGGTGAGAAAGTGTTCAAAGGCTAGAGGTAAAGAGAAAGTGAATCCTAGTTGATACAATGGGAGTTCTAGCAGCTAAGAAGGCCATGTAACACACTCAACTTCCTCATTTCAATTGTGGGTCATTAGAAATGAGTTTCTAACTTGAGAGTAAGTTATGAAGCTTAATGATGAGTTGTATGGTAAATTTAATAATTGATGTTGTTAGCATGTTATAAAGCCTTATTTATGACCCCATGATTCATATAATACTTAATAACAAGTGAAAAACCTCAAAGTAGTAAATTTTGGGAGTTTAAAGGACTAATTCATGCCCAAATAGGGTATTATGGTATGCAAGAATCGGTACTGGAGGAACAGTACCGATATTATTCTTCGTGAAAGACTAAAACCCATTATATTAAAAAGTGCAGTATTGATACCCCTTCAAGGAGTATCGATACTCAGGGTCCAATATCGATACCCAATATTTTTGAAAACATCGAACCTAAAATTGATATCGATACTCAGCATAAAGTATTGATACTACCTAAACCAAATAGCTTATAGTATTTGAGGGGTACCGATACCAACATGTGGGTATCGATACTAAGGGGTTAGTATCGATACTGAAGGGCCAGTATCGATACCCACAGGCAATTTTAGATAAATAATTTGAGAGATGTTATGAGGGGTTGAGATTTCCCAAACATCTCTAATTACTCTCAAATAAGATTACAAGTGAGAATAGTAATAATGTTTAATTCCAACGTAAGAACAAGATAAAGTAGGGTGAAATAAGATTTGCCTTGTTTGTATTCCCGGGAAACGATCAGGACACCCGAGTTCTTTTAAAGAAGCTAGCAAAGTCGCAAGTATATGTTCAGTCCAGATATATCCTTAGTGAGTGCGTGAGGCACTTTAAGCTAACTAACTAAGGCCAAGGCCTAACATTCATGAGGGGTGGGTTAATCGAGGGTGTGGTGTCTGATGTAGAGAATTTTGGGATCCTCACCCTCGATAGACTAGAGTGGTGTGTGAGCTCTGAGATGCAAAACCCTTAACCACACCATGATGTATACCATATATTAGAGAGTGAGTATACAAGTATACTCACTAAATAGACTTGATAGCTTGAGTCTTTTAGTGATATACAATTAGTATGGTTTAGTTGTTAGTGTACCACTGAGCTAGTTAGCTCAATGTTTGGAATTTGTTTCCTTATGCAGATTAGGTGGATCATTCAAGGAGCAATCTTAGAGTGACTGAGGTCCAAAATAGAGTAAATCAGAGTATGTCTCAGCGTTTTTGAAGGGCATGCATATCTGTAAACCTTGATGTAAAGTTAAATCATAGATTCAGTCAAGAATTGGTTTGTAATTATTTTTGTATAGAAATGTTTTATTTTAGGAGCTTTTTATTATAAAATTTAAATTGTATTTTTATAGTTGATTTTCTTTTGAAAATGGTCGTTTTAAAGTAAGAGAAATAAGAAAAATATTGGTTAACCACTCTGGTGGTTCAATATAGCACCCTGATTGGTCGACTATGTGTCGTACTGGTCTAGGATGTTACATTTAGCGGTATCAGAGCAAGGTTTAGAAATTCTTAGGATCCGTGGGTTAGTTTTGGTAAAGAGTTTGAGTATGCATGCCTCTAAAGAGTTATATCGTACTTTTGTATCTGCAATAGTAGTAGTAATTCCTCATTTCTGTCTTAATTTCAGAGTTAAACATGGATAGTAGCCAAAACACACTCATGAGGATAGGCATGAGAGTAGAGCTTCT